CCAGTTCCCAGGTGTTTGATGCTACTGAGTTTGTCACTTTGTTGATATAGTAGAAACACAATAGTTTGAATAAATACTTGGTTTCAACGTATAAACAATTTGAAGCAATATTAGAATTGCAGGAACTTTATAGCTCAAACTCATCGTTATTTTCTGGAGTATTTTCTTCGTTGTTTGGCAATGGAAGTCGAAAATTGGAAATTAGTCAGTCAGTGGTTGGACGAAAATATATTTCAGGATAGTCCATAGTTCACAACAGAGTGAAACGTTAGGGGAAGAAAAAATATGATGAATTAGGTCTAGATAGCCATTTAGTCCTTGTTCATGTTGCTAGCCAATGTGCATTTACGTCATTAAAAGACCATATTTGCTAGAGCTTGATGTTTTAGAAAGTTTATTTCGCTGAAGCATGTAAATGTTATTAAAGTTTGTTAATGAACTGTTATGTTTGAAAACTCACGAGTTCACTTAAACTGCGAACGAGAACAATACTCAGTGACCAAAGACCAGTGATCTAACTATTGACACGTCCCAGCCCCGCTATCTAGAAGAAGAAGTTGGTATGGAAAATATATTCTGCAACAGCCAGGAAGCGAGCGAGCAAGCAAGCAATCACAATTTAAACATATATATATATATATAATCGATATTGTCATAGAAAATTTTTAAACACTAATCAATGAGTTCATAAATTGACCTATTTGTCCATTTAATCGATCAGTTCATCTATTGACCCCAATACAAATACTTAAACATTTAACCAATAAGTTGATCGATGCGATAAAATTTAAAAATATGAGTTTGGGGATCTGTCGTCCCCAACATGAACCATCGTAGCTAATAATTAATGTAGATGATCAGTTATTAGTATCGATAGCGATAATAAGCTATGAATACTAATCAAAATTACAATACGATAATATACGTGAGCATTATTCAAAGGACTCATAAAATAATGGGTTAACATAACTGAAAATCGATCGAGAATATTAAAGTGAAAATGAGAATTATTAATAGGCTGAGTTTCTTTAGTCGGGCTGATCAATGTAGAATTATGCTCCACTTCGTTATAAGTATAATGATAATAATAGACTTAATCGTAAAATTGTCGATTTGTCATGATGTGACTACCTAATCTATAAGATCTTATGTGGATGTCACATCATTGTCTACAATGACTCGTCCCATTTCTGGGGAACACATTTGGGCTGGAGATAGAACAATATATTTCCAATATGAAAGAAAGAAATAAGTCAAACAAAAACAACCATATCTGCAAGGCCGAGTCATTCGACTGAATTGGATTGAATTGATTTTCAGGAGTTCTCTATTGTTAATCTCCTCTTCGTGCCAACTGTTGAATGCAAGTCTTTGCAGTAATTATATGCACGGCTTCAAAGGTGGTGTGTTCACGGTCTGATGTGACTGAAATTCCACCGGATATTGAAGTAGCACACAAAGAAATTTCTATAGATGTCACTCCACAAACGATCGAAGAATACAGGAAGCCGTCATACAAATGAAGAATGGGAAATCAGAAGCACTTGACTATATACTAGCTGAAGCAATCGAGTCACACACAGAAGCAACTGGAAACATGCTCCATGCTCTGTTCAGGAAGATATGGGAGGAAGAACAAGTAACGACAGAATGGAAGAACGGACACTTCATCAAAATAAGAAAGAGAGCAGATCTGAGCAAATGTGAGAACTACAGAGGCATTACACTACTGTCAGTGTCAGGAAAGGTCCTCAACAGAGTGTTGCTCAACCGAATGAAAGACTCCATAGACTCCGAACTTCGAGATCAACAGATCGGAATTTATGAGGATCGGTCATGCACAGACCTAATCGCGACTCTATGGATGATTGTTGAACAATCAGTTGAATGGAACCCGTTAGTGTACATCAATTTCCTTGATTATGAGAAAGCATCTGACAGTGTACACAGGAGGACACTATGGAAGATTCTTCTACACTACGGAGTACCTGAGGAGATCGTCAACATCATCCGTAATTCATACGACGGATTGCAGTGCAAAGTGGTGCATGAAGGACGGCTGACAGACGCATTCCACGTGAGTATCAGAGACAGACAAGGCAGTTTACTCCCACTTTCTCTTTCTCCTGATGGTTGTCTGGACTATGTAGATCTCTACATGTGAGGGGAGTCATGGAATAAAATGGACAGGTCGTAATCTATTAGAAGAGTTGTACTACTCAGATGACCTAGCTCATCTATCCCATACACAAGAACAAATGGAGGTCAAGGCAAATAGTGTAACAGCAGATTCTGCATCAGTAGGCCTCAACATACACATGGGATAAAGCAAGATTCTCAAATAAGACAGGGAGAACACCAAACCAATGTGTTATTTTTACTAGAGGTCCTGTTAAAACTAATGGTGGCTCCGAACGAAATAATAGTGGACATTTTCCTATGGATAGTGAAAAATGCCGAAACTTGGTAACGTTTATTATGTCCGAAACTTTGCGGTGTATAAACGTTTTTACATGCTTTATGTTTTAGCAATTTGATATGTGGTTGTAAACAAGGTGATTTAATCTACCATTAATCACATGGGTTTATATTGGTATATTTCGATTAATTTTATTGGAGAAGCTGCTCGACTCTCCATGAGGTATAAATTTAGTAGTGGCTTCGTACACGCGTACGTGAATTTCTTATTAGTATAGATAATAGTGTAGTGACCAACTTTTATCAAGAGAACGCGATTGGTTTAATGGAACAATTATTATTATAACCATTTGTACCAATGATTGGTTTACTGTGCTCGTTTGTTTAACTGTGCAGATGACAGCCATATTACTACTCCATAATTCTCCATTACTTTTCCGCGGTTTGTGACCTCGGACGCAAGTACTCTCGCCGGCCGATTCCACTTGTACTCTTTTTGGCACGATTTCGGTATTCGTTCGATACCACGAGATCGCCAACAAAATAAACTTGGTTCCTCTCTATATTCGCCTTCTGGTTCATTTGGTACGCATTTCTTTGTAGTGGTTTTCATAGTCAACTGCGACTCGACTCCACGCTACAATAGTAATCAGACATGATGTTTCGAATTAACTATTTTAATCCTGCTTATAGTTCCGTACTTATTCTCAAAATTAATTGTAATCTGACTGTTTATGTACGTTGTTAGTATGCTTTGTTTGTGTGTATGTCTGTTCATTGTTTATTTTATTCCACTATGTTTTCGGGACCGTATGAACTAAAACAAAGACTTACTTTCATCTGGCTAGCAATAGCCGGAATCCACGCTAAATACGGTAATTTCCTCTCACTGTTTGTTTACCGATATGCACTCCTGAAACATGTGTATCCTCAACTTCACTGGTCTACTCAACTTCAAAATTTCTCTTTGATTATGCTGACAGAGTGGGGGAGGACGTATGTCAAACTTGCAATCAGATATTTCGTTGAAGTCGAATAAGTAGCATAAATCAGCAAGCCCAACTCAAGAAATCGTAATAATCTTCTTGAAACTTTGGTGTTTACCGCTTACTACTAAAATACTTTATGTAAGCATTGAAGATGATCCGATCACAACACGGAGTAAACCGAAGAAGTCATCGATTATTGATTAATGTTTTTGGTAAAGTTGGATTGGTCTTTATTGCCTAAAACTGTGTGAAATTCCTGAATAATATGCTCTCCAAAGTAGTAGAAATCGATGGTTTGAGACCCTAGATATATACGGAATTCATCAATGACAAACGGATTTCTTTTGCCATTCTTCACCAAATCTTGAATGTGTAATTCAGTATACTTAAATTCGCCTCTTGCTTTATCATCATTTCGTTATTTTTTTCATTTTTTCTGAATTACTTTTAGAAATCTAGTACTTTTATGAATTAGCGTAATTGAAACCTCGAATTATTGTATCTATTTATTGATAGTTTTCAGTAAAATTCACAATTATTTTCAACGCAATATTTGTTTGTTCCCAGTCAGTAGCAATATCGCTTTTTATCCCTCATTGGTTATTGAGATTGTAACTTCAGGTCTCTTGTTGCTGATTAGTGAAATCTAAATGAGATCAAGTTCATTTCTTATTCAAATTCATTGCACATTATCTTGCTGAACGTTTCATTCATTAAAAACGATTTGAGGTTATATTTAGTGCACGTTCAGCAATTAAGAATAATTTCTAAGTCATATTTTAAGTAATAATAATAATAATATCACTCCTTGATTTTGTATAGACTTGTCTGCAGACTGATATGCATTTCTAGTATACAAGGGCTAGTAATATCAATTCTGCCTAAAACTAGATGTATGGAGTTCGTCTTCACGATTCACTGTTTGAGTGCTCAACCATGCATTTCGTTCAGTGTAAATATGTGTTATAGCTTGTGGCCTATGTGCCCTGTTAATGTATAAGGTAACGATACCGCCAATTAGAGAGCAGTGAATTATCGATCGACCAATGACACGTAAAACCCGTACGAGCAGCCTAGAGTCCTGATTGGTCCTGCTTCCCGCCTAGCCCAGCCAGTTAAGTCCAGAACACCAATCTGAGCCTCTGCGATATGCATCATTATATTTCAAACATACTGAGTTTATATACTGATCAAACAAACCACAACGGACCATAAAATAGAAAACAACATTTGTACAAGATTTGGCCAAAAGTGGCTGTGAATGTGGGAGGCAGTGATTAATAGAAAGGGCATAATTCAAGAATGGTAAAACGTATAATAATAGTTCATAGGTTAAAATAAAGCTTATAATAAGAGGAATATGAATATGAATAGTTTATCTGTTTAACAGTTATACGTTCAAAATATACGTTTAGTATTAGTCGATAAATAGATCCCAAAAGTTACTATTCATTCTGCTTATCGTGACATAACAATAAGAAAAGTGATTTCTTAAGGTGGTGTCTATTATTATGTAAGATTTCTATGGTTTACTGTCTAATATTTCCTTTGATTTGACTAGACATTAATTCTCAAATTCTTATTCTTTCTTAGATAAACTCAGAAAACACCGATATCGGTCAGTCGAAATCAAATATGCTGAATATATTTTATGATCCGTTGGGATTAGAAACAACTAATTGTGATGACAGTGGTTATCCGGTAGTTAACAGTATTAAAAAAATGTCTAATCCTTCACATAGTTTTCATCCATCTGATGGCAAACATAATCTGCTTGAATCCAAAGACAATGATCTAAATGTTATTAGCATAAAAATGAATGTTTGTATGGATGATACGTTTTTATTGGAATTTTTAGACAAAATTTGACTGGAACTGATTCCAAAACTAATGTCGATTTCGCCGAACGATGTGGTTTAAATTCTCCAATAGCTTTTGTCGAAGATATGATTAAAAAAGCACAGAGAACTTTAAATCATCAGTATAAATGCTAACCGTTTTTTCTGTATTAATCTCAACTGCATTTATATACCATAAAACAATTCGACATTTTACTGGGGGTGTTTCGAATTCTGATTTGTCTTAGTTGTAATCTTCTAGCATATCTATATCTATCCTTAAATTTTCCTTAAGTCACTATAGTAATTCGAGTTACGACATCCATTTTGATAACTGTATATTTTAATGGGAGGTTAAATGTTATTAGAACCATGTGATACATAAATAGGATTAATCTAAATTATAAATTAAGATGTTAAGAAATCTATGTTCTGGTGTACTAATGTTGTGTTTAATTGCTCTTATGGCAACCTAATTTGGTTCAAACTCCAATCTGATAACTCATAAAGATACTCGTGATATATGACCACAATGTATCATTAGGTAATTACCAAAAAAGCACTTAACAAGTATATGAACTTTAGTAACCACCATGTGAGACCTCTTGCAAACTTTCCACGTAGCCATTTGGATAGTTTCGATCTCAACGACTTATGCTTTCCAGTAGCTTTATTGCTTACTTATAATTACACTGTTTTCATTCCAATTTATGTGTGATTGAAGACATGATGGAAACCAGTTTGTAAATCAATGAAGTCTGGTTTACCGCTCACTGTTTTGTGAAATACATGGTTAATTCATAGTTAAGAACGACTGAGTTCATTGCTACATCGTTCTGATTGTTGTTCACATTATCTTCTGATAACCTTTATTTATGAATTCAATAAAGCTTCATGATTGCAGGAAATTTTCTTCATCGGTATTACCAATATGTTTAAGTGATAAATGTGACACAATCGTAATAAAGCTATAAATACTTTCCGAGTAATAATACAGCAATGACATAACTTCATTTGATTTTTTCCTATCTTATAGCATCTATATGAATAGCATGAGTATTATTTCAATGACCGCATGTCTGTATGTTTGAATATATTAAATTTAAAATTCCGTTTTGCCTTTTTCTACTTTTGTACCAGTCAACTAGCTACATATCTTGATCCGTAATTTTTATCGAATGGATTTTAAATTAAGTACTATCAAGTATATAAATGAATACGTTTTCCTCCTGTGAAAATTTGTCAATTTATCATTGAAAGGTTCGAAAGCGTAGACTTATTATACTCTTCTTAACGCCCACTAGAACAATGTGTTTATAAAATTAATTACGCTTGGGTAATCTTGCTCATAATAGGTATGGTGATGAATAGACAAGTATCTAGTATTATGGACTTCTAAACTGATCACCATATTATTCTAAGCAGAGATAATGGTGGCTAGCAGTTTGAAGCGAACGGTTCTGGGTTCGAGTTCTTGAGTGAATGTCAGCTGACCAGTCCCAAGAAGGGCGAAATGCGTGTCCTGGGTTCCACTGCTAACCACTCTCACCTCCACCCATAATGCTTGTGATTGAAGGCAATATCAAAGCAATCCGCACAGGATGCACATTTGTCAATAAGAGACTGATCAATTGTATAATGAATTCTGACTTCAGTACATCAATCACACATACTTGTATTTATTCATTGTTTTAATTAGTCAACATTACGTAAATAATCTAAATAGACAAAGAACGTCTTGGCTTTAAAATTTATGCGGTAAACATACTCATCAGAAATTCGTAAAAAGGTACTTGGATGCTACTGTATTCGATTTCTTCAATTCACTAACCGAATCGCGCTTACTTATTTCTTCTCCTATTCTATATTTTGAAGTCTGAAATATCTTGTCTGCAAATTGTATGTCATTTATGCATTCTTAGGTGCGTTTTTATGTACGCTTCGCAGTGTAGTTGCGTGAATTAATTCATGTGCATGTAAACCAGAGATTTACTGAAATGTAAAATCGAACTCATCTTGATCATTTTTGAGTGAACCCAATTTACATTTAATAATGTTTCTCACTTTCCGTTTTCTACATTTTTGTTTATGTTTTACAAAATCTATTTTTAACGCTTGTGTGAACCTTTCGATAATTTTAAGAATATGTATTTTCAAGTAGTGTAGATTGTAAGTTAGTGAATTCTACTAAATGGGAAGCTGAAAATTTGAATTAAGAACATGTGATGATTAGGCTAACTAAAGTTTATTTGGTTTAAATATTAGGCATAAAACAATGTAAGTTGGTTACTCATTTAGAGGAAAAGAAATTGGAGTATATTGACTCTTATGCTGAAATAAAGTTTTGTTATCGATAAATAGGCATTTCACATGAATAGTGAATCGAATCATAAAATAAAACCAAAGATGAGAATTGTGTATTTTAAAGCTTTGTTTAAGAAAGTGCAAAAAGCCACTCAAATGTTGTAGCATCCCAAAATATGTTTAGGGTGTCAAATATGTAATTCATAATGGGTTTACCATGCATCGCATTTTGTAACAGGATTCATTGGTGAACCAACTGGACAACCATATGCACGTGCGAATCTTCTACTATTGACCAACGCCCCGATCACTCTTTCAAGGTAGAGAAAACAATTATTTCGTTAGTTTGTAGAGCTGTAAACTAAATACACAGATACTGTAAAGTTTGCTAACTGAAACTACTGTTTTCTGATAAAGATTGTGAAAGGTTAATCAGATTCAAGGTAAAGTAGGCGACTTTCAGTGCAGTTCTAGACCATCGGAATTCATTAATTTTTGAGTTTTTATAGCCGTTTGTATTATCTGACAAATAACAGTTATATGGCTTTCAAGCATGATAGTGTTCATTCTTGATACGGAATATAATGCTGAATAATTGTAATTCTTCGTTATATACTGCAACATCTGCTATGAAAACTTTAGTTTGTGTCAACAAATATTTCAAGTCATAAATTTTAGTATAACATATGTAATTTAGATCGTTATAAATTCTTACCTAAACTTTTCCAAGACATGAGGCATAGCTACTGCATTTTGTGCAAGTATTACCTCACCATGATGTCCGCACATAGCCTTGAAAATGGGATAATGAAAACAGTTGAAAAGTACATTACTAGTTATTTGGTGATAAAACAAGACATGATTATATTTAGGCTGACATTGCACTTATTATACATTACTTAAAGTATACATCACTCCGCCTTGAGCCCATCTTGGGCTACTGCCGATCCCAAGCCCGGAAAAAAGAAGAGAGTTGGGCATGAGGTTAGCGGCACAATCACGTTAAAATCTAACTCGCTAAAAAAACGCTAACCAGAAAAAATAATTCAAACAATTTAAACTCTGCCCTGGAAGTACGAAGGTCTTCATTTAGAAGAGTTATGACGCCTCATGGTGAAAGACGAGTTCCTTCGGAACTTACGAATTTGATGGCCCTTCTAACAGTGAGAGCAACCATTAACGTAGGTCCATGGAATGTTGTGGTGTTTGAATGATTTAATGATTCTTTTGTACTTGTTGAATGCTCGATTTAGAATTCTAAATACAATACATTCGTTTGTGCTCATCTAGTGCTTCTTGATTCAATTGTGTTATATCGAGGATTCTTAGTTCATAATATAATTGAAATCACCAAATTGGCGTCGCGATGGAGCCTGTGATTGAATTATTGGATATACATTCAGATTTTGGTGCTTTTGATGATTATTTTGAAAGGTTCGAAATCTGGGCTATGACAAAGGAAGATGATGAGGATTTTAATATTGTGGCATATTTCCTCACATTCATCGGAAAAGAAGTATACAGCTTATTAAGAACTCTGGCTATGCCGGAAAAGCCTATCTCTCTTCCTTATACAACTCTCAAGGAACTGGTGCTAGACTATGTTAAGTATACAAATTTCAAACGCAGTAAAGGTATATTTTGTAAAGTGATTCATGAGGATATAAGAAATTCCACTACATTACTACGTCATCCCAACACAGTGCATACTCAAGGCTATGCAGATAATTCATTGAGGAGTTTGGATGCATTTCACGAAGATAGACATAAGTTTGATCAGTGTTTTTGCTGTGGCAAGTTACACTCTTTTAATTCATGTATAGGATAGGAATCTCACGGATCAAGGATCATCAAAACCTCCTTCAAAACAAAGAGAGAGGGCATTTCAATGAACGTCATCCAATGATACGCGCCTACCAACGACTACAATGAAAATGTTAAAGATCAGCTCTACAATAGGCTGCAGTCAATCGTGGAGAAATGCCCAAAACAAAGGACCTGGCCATTCTGATGGGAGACCGAAATACTATGGTTCGAACGGACAACACTGTACATGAAGACATCATCGGACGACATGAACTGGGAGAAAGGAACGAAAATGGTGAGGGATTCGCAAACCTATGTGTTTTCAACAAACTGGTCATAGGTGGCACCAAATTCCCACATAAACTCATACACAAAGCCACATGACTTTCACTGGATCACACTACACAGAACCAAATTGATTATACCTGCATCCACAAAAACTTCAGGAGAACGAATGAGGATTTGAAAACCAGGATAGGAGCTGATATAGCCCCGGATCATCACTTGCTGGTCAACAAGACGAAACCGAAACTCCAGAAGCACTGGACAACGGGCGGACAACATCAGTGATTTTTGTACGGCCTTTCTTCGGGATACGGACAAATCGAATAAATTCAAGGTAGACCTCAGCAATGGGTTCTAGGTTTTCATGATCAACTCAAACAACACCATAGTCAGAATTTTCAATACACATATCAAGACAGTTCTGCTGTATGGAGCGGGAACTTCGAGAACTATGAAAGCTACCATCCATAAGATACAAGTGTTTATTAACAGTTGTCTGAGCAAAATAATTCATAGACTTATGTTAGCGGGACATAGACTAGATTAAAGCATGCTCAATGCATGATTGCTTTGGTGCACGCTGATTGGCTAATTCTTATCCAATCAGCACTAGTCGATAGTTGGAGAATACTCTAGAATCTTCTCATGTAAAAAACTATAAATATACTGACGTTTTCTCTGTTGTGCTTCTGACTTGCTATTTGGAATATAATCTCTTTCCTGTTCAACCGTGTTCTGATTTGGGGACTTGTCGAGTGAATCGGTGTCCGAGAATACTAAGCAATAGGAATAGCTGGGTCATAAGCGTAAGAAGAAAGAGATTACAACAACTTAGTTCCCTTTATTATTTTAAAGAGAGCAAGAACAAAGGCTGGTGCAGAACAATACGAATTCATTTTATTTCGTTAGGTTCTCATCAGTTGCTTACACCCTAAAATACTTGAAATTTAACGTTATTATAGGTATTGACATACTTATACATCAGAGGGAGATGAAGGATATATATATATATGTATAACATCATGTAGCAAAGATTTCGTTAGAATTAATTAGGTCATAAAATTTTGTTTCGAATGTATAAAGTTTGGGAGGGAAGGTTCCAGAACATTGAAATAGTGATTAGAAATCATGGAATTAAAACACATTAGATTATTATGCAATGAAGTAACTGAAAATAGATTAATGTTAATAAAGAGAGATATGAATTGAAATTGGTCACTTATGAATGATGTAATTATAAAATTCAGAAAGAGTTGGAATGACGTAATAAATAAAAGGGGGAGGGGTAATGTTACCAACTCAAATTCAAAGGCGATAATGTCACAGGGTCAATCAATATGAGACTAAAAACTGCATTGAGAAATAAAAGGGTGGAGGTAACGTTACCAGGGCAAAGAAAGATTTATTACTGTTCCGTTTTATATATATATATATATATATATATATATATATATATATATATATATATATATATATATATATATATATATATATATATATATATATATATATATATATATATATATATATATATATGTATCCTTCATCTCCCTCTGATGTATAAGTATGTCAATACCTATAATAACGTTAAATTTCAAGTATTTTATGTTGTAAGCAACTGATTAGAACCTAACGAAATAAAAGGAATTCATATTATTCTGCACCAGCCTTTGTTCTTGCTCTCTTTAAAATAATTCAGATCTGTTGGTCAGACACTATCAGTAACAATCTACAGTGGGAGAGAACAAACCAGATTCCAGCGGAGGAAGAAATCAGGAAGAAGCTCTGGAAGTAGATAGGGTGCACATTAAGGAAATCAACTCAGTACATCACGAGACAAGCCCTTACATGGAATCCCAAAGGCCAAAGGAGAAGAGGAAGACCAAGGAACACATCAGGCTGAGAAATGGAGACAGACATGGAAAGACTAAACAACAATTGGATAGAATTAGAAACGAAGGTGCAGGACCGAGTGGATAGGAGAATGCTGATAGGCAGCCTATTAGTTTGTGTGAACTGATAGTTTTCATTTTGATGATATATTTTATTGTCTTAGTTTTAAACTTCACTACTTTTTCAGCTCCTTCAGATAATGTGAAAATATTATTGAGTTAACAGTAAATTCGAATAATAATTTTCGGTTGAATTTCAGGAATAATGACATGGGTGGTATGATGATTTTTATGAAAGTGTTGATGTATACAACATTCACATCCAAGTTCAAGGGGAACAAAGAACGTAGGATGAGTGTTTTAGATAAAGATGATAAATACCATTGAATATAACATTGAGAAATGCACCATAGGTATTCTTATGAATAACAGCAATTCGAATCTTCGACTTACTTGTGCAGACGAGAGGAAGAACAGTCGATCAGATTCAAGTGAATCGTGGTTATCTTGGCTAACATTGTTCGAGAACTTCTTCAACAAACGCTTGTATGTCTGAATAAAGAATGTTTTGTAGCGTAAAATTTAATGTGACTGAGTTAGTGTTTTTGAAATCAACGGTCATAATACGTAGTAGTAAAACACATTTGTAGTGAAAAGGTGGTGTGTTTGTGAAACGCTTTTAGCAACGTGTTATCATAACATAGTTTCTATCATGAACGATCAAAATAAACCTATGCACGTTGTGCTGTATTTCATAGTTTTCATGAATCACGAACGAGAAATCGAGTAACAGAGTTATGTACCTATTTTAACCACCGAAAGAATCATTAACCAAGCTATTGACTTTTCTGCTCATTGAATTCATTTCACAGAGATATTCCAAGTATGTTTGTGTGTTTTGTCCCGTTAATTTTATACTGCAAATCAAAGTTGACGCTAATAAAATTTTGTACAAATACAGTTTCGATTATTGGACAGAACACTACGGACTGGTCGATTTTTGTTTTCATATCAGCAATTGTGAGATAACTGTTTGAGCTGAGTAATAGCAAAAGAATATTTGAAAGCGACAAAGGAGCATATAACTCAGAATGTAGTGAACGTGGGACAAGCATATCAATGTTTTCTTGAATAGCTTATTAACCTCTTAGTTACTCAATTATCAATCATATGGTAGGGTATTGACAGCTAGAACAACGAACGTGATATCGGACCACTTTGTGAACCCCTATGTTTACCTGACAAAAATTATCATTTATTCAGAGAAGTAACTGTAAGATCCTTTGATATTTATTAAATCTGATTGCTTTCTTTGTTATGGTGAGTCAACAAAATTTTCTGTGTTGGTCTCATAAATGACACACGATTAATAGTATTCTTTATTTATCTATACCATATTTAGATTTTTGTTCATTGAAAGGAAATCATCGAACTACTCAAGATACACAATAGTATTCTGAGGATTGATATCTAGTTTCAGTGGTCATAAACAAAATTATATTAATTATCTGAATGTACTTACGTGGTACGACGCTTTTAATCCATCATTGTCAGCCAACATTTCTTCTTGAGTATCAGTGCGAAAAGCCTAAATCAGTTGAACAATAAAGAGGCATGTGTTGTGTAAGATTGTGAACCTGAAATCAGAAATTCTCACATTCCCTTTTTTACACTGAAATGTTATGCTGAATTGTCTTCGAAAGTCACTATTGATTAAAAGGAATTTCACTTCCGAACAAAAACATGCTAATAACTAGTCTGAATTGATTTTCTACTCTTTTTTTTTCAATTTCTGTAGTATTTCGAAAAACAGTTTATTCAAAATAAATCACATAACAATTTACGAAATTATGAGTAAGTTTCGTTAAATATAACGAAACAAAATTCTTAAAAAACAGGACTTCAGTGTGCCTGCTAAGGGTAGGGGATACTCGTAAGTTACTAGTATTTGACCATAGATGTCTTATAAATATTGCCAGCATCTGCTGGGATCAGCTGGTAAGTAATAGTGAGGTTGGACTAGGAGTACAAGGGAATGACGGTAAATCAGTTGATGAAGTTGCGAATCTTCATCGACTGAGATGGTTGGACCAAGTATTACACATGGAGACGGATAAACAATGTGAGTATGAGTCCTACCCTCGTTGCGTATCGGTTTCTTAAGGTCGTCTATGGGTTTTGATTGCTGCTAGACTGATTCTTTGATGATAAACTTGACTAGTAGAACACATTAAAATAGTTTTGTTTTAACACACCTTTAGCTCCACCTGTAGCTCTTCTAGAGTCACTGCCAGTCCCCAGCCCGGGTAAAGGAGAAGGGTTGGGCATGGGTTAGCGACCCCATCTTGTAGACAAATAACTTGCCAGAAAGACGCTAACCAGAAAAAAATAATTCAAACCATTTAAACTTTGCCCCAGGAGTTATAAGAGCTTTATTTAGAAGAGTTATGACGCCTCATGGTGAAAGACGAGGTGCTATGGAAGTCATGAGGCTGATGTCTCATTCTTGCAACCAGAGCAACATTTTCTATAGGCAAATGGAACGTCCGGGCAATACAGGAGACTGGGAAGACCAGTCAAATAGCAATGGAAATGAGGAGATACAAATTGGCAGTACTTGGAATCAGCGAATCCCATTTGATCCAAGCTGGACAGCAAAGGTTAAATACGGGCGAGATGCTGCTATACTCCGCTCACGAGGAGGAAAATTCTCCACACAATCAGGAAGCTGCTCTAATGTTGTTGAAAGAAGCACGAAATGCACTTGTAGGATGAGAATCTCACGGATCTAGAATCATCAAAGTATTATTCGAAACAAAGAAGCATGAAATCGCAATGATTGTTTTCCAGTGTTATGCACCTACCAATGACAGCAATGACGACATTAAAGACTAGTTCTACGATAGGCTGCAATCAATCATAGCGAAGTGCCTAAGAAAACACATCACCATTCTGATGGAAGATCTAAACTCGAAAAGAGAGTAATAACTGGTGTCACATTTAATGGTAAGTTTATTTTCCAATATTCTCAAACGTTTTAAGTTAAATACAGTTTAAATGAAGAAAGTAGCATCACTTAATGATTATGGAAAATTTTTGTACTAAATAACCTATGACCATACAGAATTTCAGTAAATATTTATATGTTCGTATTTATAATTTAGCTAAACTTACTTTTAAAGCAGTGTAACTATAGTAACCATACTGACGACTCAGACATAAAGCATTCAAATGTTTCAAACCGGATGACAGTAAAGCATTGAACGAAGTCCGTTTATTCTGATTCTCATCATACAGTACACCTGGAGATACAACGAAACTAATAGGTTATGGTTATTGAAATTGTAATTAATTTTAACATAATTGCTAGTGTGCATGTAGAGTAGAAGAAAGGGAAAGCAGAAATCAGTATATATTTGTTTGGTAATCACCAGTTTTCACATCAATCGAAATGAAAGACTAAAACCATGAGTTTGTCAGAAACTAATAAAGCAGACATTATAAAAGTGGATGGTGTCTAGCAGTGGAATTCAGAATACTCATTTCGTTCTATTTGGGACCCGTCAGTTAGATGAACCTACATCCTAGCTCTGCTTAGAATGCTTTTGACCTAAGACAATATCAAGCCGATCCTCACAAAATGCACGTATGCCAATAAGAAACCAATACATTGCAGTCCTAAACATCAATGAGAAGATTCAAACAATCAGTATTAAAATGAAATTATACAACAGACCTTCAACCGTGACTCGTCAAAGTACAGCATACCAGAGTAGAACAAGTTTTTTCATATGATTCCAAATTATTCCATTGGAATTAAATGGGAGGATAGTTTTCAATGAGTTCTATGGATGAAGTTTCGACTATACACTACATTGCCTAATCACTAATACTGAACCAGTGAAAATTTATATCATCAATTTACTATCAGGACAACAGCAGTCTAATGTTGTATTCGAAAACGAGTCTGATATTCAGTGTATGGTAACAGAGTAATACTCAGTATCAATTAGTCGGTGATTTATAGAATAAAATGATTTTGTGAATTTCGAAATATTAAAAGTATGGAAACTAATAAAAACCAAAATATGAATCAAATAATTCACCGATTTCTAATAAAAGTTTCCACTAACGAAATATACCTTCAATTGATAGTAACTGTACTCTCGTGAGACGTGGATTGATGACACAAATGAGCCTTTCAATCGTTGTTACAAGTAATCGATATGAGTGTGAACTAAGCTGACATGGATGCGGTCAAGTATTTAATAGTCAAGCTGAAAAGATTTAATATTTCGTTCGAAGTACGACTAGATTAGACTAGTTGAAGCCAACCGCTGCATGGTATCACAAGCAAAATGTTTTATACATTAATGAACTAAACTGGAACTTCCACCTGTTATTATATTTGAATATTTAAATATTGTGAGGATTGGTTAATGGATTCTTTCTATTCATATTATAGTGAATTGTCGTGAGATCGCTCTCCTTTCAGTGATGTGCTGATTTCGAGAATGTATCGATACAGGACACAGGTGGTATTTTGTGATTCCGTAATCGTAAAACGCTTAATACTGACATGTGGAGATTGTACACGATGACAAAATATTATTCGAATATTACGTGATGTTTGTCCACAAGGTTAGTTTCACCAAATGAACAATAAACTGAGATCGTCAAACTCAATAAGTTGACATTTTGTTGATATGCAAAATAAATGATTCTGATCAATACATGTTAGTAATTAGTCAACTAGTAAATTTCTCTATGAATTCATGAGACAATTAAATGATATTGTGGTTTTATTAACAGTATTATACCGAAAGTAATAATTTTATACAAGTTAATTAATATTACTTTTAAGAAACTGAAAATTCAGTATACTGATTGAACAAACCTTGGATACCTATTCCGTGCATAATCTCATGACTTATAATCCAACCAAGTGCTCCAAATTTCGAAGCTAAACTACCATTTTCATAATAAAGTGGAGGTTGTAGAAGTCCTGGTATACATATATACGATTTTCATCCGTTGCATAATACGCTGATACGAGACGTGACAGTGATCCTGTGAGAGATCTGTTCACAAAAATATAAAGGTTTGGTTATTTCACATGTCGTATCATTTCATTAAAATTTCCCACTTTTTACATTTCACCAGGTAATCATTTCAAGATTAGTACGGTACGAAATGTCTGGTATTTCAGTTTTATCACAAACTAGCATGGATTATATTACATGATACTTAAGGAATCGGTGAATGAAGCGGTTTTATTCATACAAAAATTGGGTAGAAATTGGTATGTCAGTTTACAATATGAGATTATGGAATCTGAATAAAAGTAATTTTTTACAACCGCTTTATTAATATGGATTCTAATATTCAAATTAAATATCCGTGATTTCTATATAGCCAGTAAGTAACTAATCAGTTCAACTTCTGTACTTATAGAACTAGGAGGTTTGCTGTTTGAAAGATTTAGATCATTAGTGATTATTTAACATAGATTATTGTCTGTTATTTGGGTTCACATTAGTAAGTAGTGTCAAATCTCCTAAAGACGATAATATAAAGATGCTATTTGATATAATAGTAGTTGTAATAATAATAGTAATAATGGACAATTAGCGTTTGTCGTTTGGGTTATAAAATGAATGAAATCTTCTTACTTCATTGCCACATTGAATAATGTAATGAAGGCACAGAAAGTTTGCTTAAGGAAAATGATTTGTACATCCTTCTGTTTTCTAAGATTTTAATTAGCATATTCGTTACAAGATTTAGAGGAAAGATGTCCAAATACGAACCAAACACACACTAAATCAGTCCACGAAATCAATTTGATTTCATGGTAATGTGGGTTCTATTGAGTAGAAGGCATCAATCCATAAGATAATTTCGATTAAAGTATATTCAAATCTTTGCAGTTAAATAATAAAATTAACAATTTGTGATAACTTGTATTGTTTTTATATCAGAGATATCATGACAACTTACGGGTTATATTTGTGTAATTGAGTTTTCAAAGTGTCAATATATTTCGCTTTACGGATATAGAATTCATTTGTGTAATAATTGTCCTCTCGAATAGGGTACTAAATATTATTTGTGTGAAAAAACATTGACAGAGATCATTTAAAAGATGTTTAAAGCACGTTCGACACATTCTGTTCTCCAGTTTATTGAGTAAGTATTTCTGAATCAAGGGTTTTGGGAAAATGCAGTGTCATTGAAGCAACATTTCGGATTTTCATTGTCAAACTAATCATTGTCACATAAGGTGACTTTCCTCAATTTGTAACGCCGAAATACTGAAATGATTTGACTAATGCATAAAATTGTGCGAATAGTCCTCGTGTGATTATAAATTTTCTCACTTGTACTATTACGAGATTTTAGGTGATGATTTCGTACACGCATCCAAGTAGTTGAATTATGGTGAGATTGATGTGTAGTTTTTGATGACCAGCAGATTGGTCCATAAATTGACCGATATATTTGAACCATTTAGGATTTAACCTCTGAGTTTCCGAACTGCAGAATAAAGACCAGTGAGTTGAGGTTTCTCTGCCACGTAATGATTGAGGCAAACCAATGTTGTTTGGAAATGTGAAATATGGTTTTATTACACTAAGTGTTATCAATGATGAGTTCTAGGAATAACGGTGTCTTGTAAGTTTCACATTTCTCCTCCGTGATAACCGGAGTTATTTTGTGTAGAATTAGCTTATCATTATATACAATGATATAACATAACCAGTTTTCAAAAAATAATCATTAGTTGTATCAAATGGACATGTAAAATAATTTATTTTTCAATAGTGAAATAAGTGTAGTTAACTTACTTGGAATACTGTTGAGAGATTTTCTTTTTGTTGAGAAGCATTTTGATCGGAGTACAAGGCAAATATACCCATTTTTGAAATCTACAATTTTTCACAACAATCAGTTATCTTACTAAAACTTAAACAAACCTTGTATTTCATGAAATTTTTCTCTTCTTCATTCAACGACTTGATTTTTGGTATTGAGTTAGTGATAGTGAGTTTAATTTCGTTAAACATATTGATCACCTGTAATAGAGTGAAAATTAATCGAATTGAGAAAGTGTATGTCATATTTGAAAATTATTGTTCCACAAGATAATAAACTTGTCACAAATGCATTAACGCTTTTCACCAATTCTAGTAGCAGCCTTTTAAATAATCTTGTTAGCTTTTTGTTTTGAAGGAGCTACTTGAAGTTTTTTCCCTTTCGGCATTTTTCACCTTCTCCATTCCTTTTTGCTTTTGTTTGTTTTTCTTTAGCTGCACGAAAAAGTGGTTGCCTTCTGATTTCAAACATCGTTGAGGTTCATTTAATAACGGTTACGAAGGTGATTGATGAACAGGCTATGTCGCTACAGTATGATGGATTTTGGTTTCTCAAACCGACCGTTGATTTCTGTTCATCAAGGATATGTTTTTGATATTTAAATTGTGTACCAATGTATAGTCTAGCGGAGTAGCTTAATAAGATCATTTGGATGGATATTAGAATCTGTATTTCAAATGGATTTGGTGCGAAACATGGTATACAGGTGATAAAATCATTTTGAGTGGTTAGTTGCCTACTCTTACTAAATTGTATTGTGTTACACTTAATCTTGGCAATGTAATGTAATGTTTACAATAATGAAGTCTCGTCCCATATTGTTCGAATGATTATTGCACAGTGTAACTCCTAGATTTCAAAAGAGCACACACCAGTGATCACAATTCGTAGGGATTCTGAAGATTATTTGAAAAACAATCAGCAGATTTTCACTGAAACTGTGCTTTTTTCGAGAAAAGTGGTTTGAGTTGATTGTCTTACCGAAACCAGGTCGATATTGGAACGATGTTGGCCGTTTGATGTAATTCATGTAGGAACGTATATCCGAAATCGAAAGAATAATTTCAAAACTGTTGAGGAACAGGTTTGTAGGTGATGGCGAAAGTATGAAAGTGTTTTGGAAATTCTCATGAATTAACATCAAAGTAACCCTAATTTTTGCATCATAAAGTTTGTCAGTACGAAAAGTAACCAAAGACAATTTTATTTAACACAAATACAGTTAGGAAATATTTTGTGCTGAACGCTTATTATGTTAAGATGTTGAATATCATTTTTTGTGAGGTGTGCTCTAAATTGTGCTATTCGGAGATATTTGTTTATGTTTATGTAATTTAAGTCAAAAGTGTAGTATTCTCTTGATTTAAATAATTTTAACCTTCGAATATGAATGGTCGACTGTTGGGTATATAGGGGTTTCTGTTAATATTCCAGTAAATTTATGTAAATTTCGATTATTCCCTCAAAAAACCTTAAAACATACTTCTTAACAAAAGCTACCAGCACTTCAAATTTCACCAAAATAATGTCTACAAATATTTCTTTTATTATAATTAGTGTTTAGAATGAAAAGTAAAAGTTTTCCAATAACTAACTGGGTTTCTATCTCTTGGGGCACTGATTACTTATACCAAGATGAGTAATCATGGTGTTTCACCATTTGGATAAGTAAAATGATTGAATGTTCATACATTAGCGTTCACATATTAATAGCAGTAGGACGAACTTCGATTGAACTGGTAATCACCAAATTGAGTTCCATTTATCCATTTGTGGACAGTTAAACTCTGTCATCGATTACAAGCTCGTCCAAGATAATAAATTAAGAGTAATTTTCTAAATATATCTTATACCAGACTTCATTTACCATCACTCTAATACAACGATGTTTGTTCACTGTAGTGTTTCTACTAGCCTATCATGAAATAAAACACTGTGTGTACAACTGTCCATTGTCAAGAATTGAACGGTTTTTCATTATGGTAAGTAAACTATACCACAAACCATCATCAATAACTGCATTCTGGTTTACAGACTAGAAAACAAACTATAATATACACCCGTTGTTCATGATCACTTGTATCATGATGGATGATGATTTCTAGAATAAACGGGAAATTCGGAATTAAAACACAAAGCCGACTGTAACAATGGGTTAAATGCTATGATTTTATAAAATTGTCAGTTAGATGCGCATTACAAACATACAATCTATAATGATCTAACGAGAATTGAGCAACAAATTGTCTATCACTCAGGTTAAATTACTCTGAAATCGAATGCTGTTCAATATAACTCGTCTATACTTAATTGGAATAAAGTGTTTTGATTTGTATTGTCAGCCGTTCAATAAAAGCTGATAGAATTGATGGTTGGACTGAGTTTACCAGAATTGCTTCAATGGGATCTATGAAGTTCACAGACTGTATCCAGAAAGATGATGTTAAGATCACCAGTTATGTATGTTACTCAAATTTTGTAAAATAGTAATCTATGATATTTCCATTTTACTCAGGTGTGTAATCCACTTAAAATGGATAGGTTTCATTTGAATGTGATAATTAAGTTGTAGATCCTTGGCTATATAAGGAATTCTTCAATCAGTGAATTGGTTGTTGCTAGGAATCTATTTGCATTGTCTCATTTCATCATGTAACGATTTCATATTATCGCTAAGCGTGTTTACCGTTCAAACATTGTAGATAAGTGAAATATGACATGAACCAACCTCTGTTTTGTGTGTTTCGTTTACATGCGAACGGATATAATGTCTTTCAAGAGTCCATGGAAATGCATCCTTCAACCGTTTTATACATTGCTCATCAAAATGTGGCTGTGAAGCTATTTAAAATAAAGTGAAATAATGTTTTGTTGTGAGAGGATCAAATGACTTTATATAAGGGAAGAACGGAATCAGTCAGTATGTCAACAAATAAAAGCTCATCCTCATGAAACAAATGACACTATCGTTCAAATCAGTGTTTACAGATCTAGTGTTCATGACTACTTGTGTACTCAATCATCGTATACTTGCTTCAACACTAATTGCAGAAAGAATATATTCAAAAGAGTGTTTAATCAATAATCTGTTTACGTCCACTACATTGCTTTGAATATCAGGAAGTGCTTCAAAGTATACTTTAGATAATTACTATTTTAAGTCATTCCACTTCTATCAATATGACTGAAAATGACAGCGATGAATAAATGTACATTGGTTCAGGGATGATGTATTACGTTGATGGGATTTGCAGAGTATACTGGATTTGTTCATATATGAATATGTCTACTGTTGAATTATGCAGGCAGAATACAATAGGAAGTTTTGTTTCGATTAGTAACTATTGCCTTGTTTATTTATGTGGTTTCTATTGATGAATAAGATTTTTATACTGGCTATTAGTATATTTATTGATGCTAGCAGTCAGTGATTATCAGGTGTTTGACGTTAACTTTATTCATATGCTCAATAATTTCGACATCACTGGTGATCTTAGATCATATAAATTAAGAATATCATACTTATTAAGTATATAAATTTGCAACACATGAACAGTAGTCGGAGCGTTTCTAGTCATGAAGACCATCGACATACAAAATTTGTTCGCTACCGATCAATCTATCTCTTTGTTGTTACTCTGACAACGGTTATAAACTGATATACTGTACCTTTTAATCACAGTGTATAAGAAATTAAGCTCAGTATTTTCATTTTCAAAGCATGTAAGGGTTGTGATGACTTGTGAAAAGATGTTTGTTTCCTAAGGATACACATTTTTCTCCGTACATTATTCTTGAAGACTAAAACTTGAATAAGTGCGTTAGTAGTTTAGTCCTTTAGCATCAGAGCGGAAAAGCAGTTTTCAATTCAATCCGCACTAAACTCCACTTTATTATACATTGACCTGTTCAGAAGTATAATTATGTATTATAGTAATGGTGAATAAATACATTATCAAACGAAAATTACTGTCCACTAGTATATATTTTAGGGTCGATAAGTGATAATAAATGTCGTTATTCCAGTCGTTCTTATAAACAGTTCAATGCAATAAAATCGTTGAATTGCATACAGAAACGTGGTTAGAAATTCAATGTCATATGAATAGCCGCTTCACAGTCTTATCATTGACTTTAAGATGGATATTTCACAGTAGCGAGTAATTAAATCAGTATATTATTGCCAAGTGACATTCTCGATTTAACAGTTTGGAAATGAATATATGTCTTATAAATTAATGTCAGTCATCAAGATTGTCTATTACGAATAATCACTTCATGATTTCTTTGCCGAAAATTTCACTTAAATCCAATTCCCATCTAGTTAACAGAATATGTTTCTTCAAAACGGGATGCAATATAATGAAAACGGGTAAAACTATATCTGAATTAATATATCCGTGTGTAGTGAAAAAATTTCATGACCTAAATATTCCATACGTTTTAGTTATTAACTACAAATAAGTAATTCTATTGTATAATTTCAGTACTAAGTAAATAAATACATTGTTGAATATATAACTAACATGAATTGAAGTTATCATTCGTTTCAAATGTATGGACGTTTAGTGTATTCTTTTGTTGTTCTCGTAAAAAATCCATAATAGCTATTGTGCGTAGAGTACTAATGAAGGGAAAAAAATTAGGTCAACAAAGCTCTTCAATAAAGCTAGGGTAATGATAATAATAATGAAACAGCATCAGTAAAACGACATACTGAATTAACAAATAACACTGACAAATGGTTCCAAATTCCAATAACTGTTCGAGAGCTTTATTCTCATCATTTGTAAGTTTCTAGAACGACCTACAAGTCTGAAATACGAATTCTAAAATGTGCTTAATCTCTATTTTATCTGAATCAAATAAGTAAAACAATAAATGTTATGCATTTGTTACAAATGTTCATGAGAATAAAATAAAATTGGATTATTCAAATGTTTTTAGTTCCGAGTGATCCTAAACAGATAATGTGGATTGCATAATCTGATTTGTGAAAAGTGAAAATAGCTTATTATTATCTTATAAAGCTTCGTCAGTGCATAATCCAAATACAAGTTGAAGAATGTAGTTAAGATTGAAATTAGTCCATCTAGAAATTGTGAAATTTCAAAGAAGACGATCCAAGTTGACCGAACTAACATAAACAACAATCTGTCCAGTTTCTTAGAAACAAATAAGCCAACACATTAGTCAATCATTGATATGTTTCATTTTAAACAATGATATGTTTCATATGTTTGAGACAAAGCAATCAAAAACTATGTTTTTATTTACTTGATTAAAGTGTGAAAAACTTAACATTTTGCTCAACTACTAGGTAGGAATGAAAGGTAGTAATATTGATCAATAAACAGCTACTGACGAATAAAATTGACTAAATATTTCATATTAGTGTCTTTCTGGCATAGATTGAAACCAGATGATCAGAATCTGTGTTGAACTCTGTAAATTATAACAGTCTCTTTCTTTGTGACAAGTGTAACAATGAAATGCTTTCATGCAGAAAGTAAATAGTTTTATTATCCAAATGTAATTACTAAACTTACGTACAGCTATTAGATTCCATTTCGATCTCACCTAATTATTTTCACAGTTTTAAATCATGAATTGATCTTAGTTAGACTCCCTGTGAAAACCGGGAAACATTGAACGGCTGTTTCTTACTAGTATGCGACTCCTCAGTGGTGCATGTCCACGAACCCGCATCCAGGAATCGAAGTCAAGCTCCTCAGTCTCACACATGAACGTTAAGTTTTTAGATTATTGAGTTAGTATCCAACGGTGTAAAGGTTTAATTTCAACTGACGATATTGTGCAACCCTCATCTATTGCCTGTGGTGGGTAACCATTGTGGATACACACAGATTGGGCATCTCATACGAGGTCAAAGAAACCATCAAGTGCTCCTAGGTTTTCAGTGGTAGTGTTACTGAGGTCAACTCATGATTTAAAAGTCCAATTTCTACAGTCTCCACAAGTCCTTTGCACTAATATAATTCGTTGTTGAAAGATGCAGGTGCTTATTTTTACAAACTTATCGACTGATAAATCCTATGTTTGTTGCCGACCATAAAGAAAATAAATTATGCTTTACCTTCCACCATCTATTTCCGTCAATATTTCACGGTATTCTGCGCAACGTTGACGGAGTTCATTTCTCCGTTCGATAATGATTGGTAGTTTGTGGTATTTTACATATCCAGTTTCTTGTAATACTTTGTCAAGTATATAACTCCAATCGATCTACACAAGTAAAATAAGTTACAATGAGCTTATAATATGGTTTTTCGAGATGGAATGGAATAGTATTTTCAGTGGCTTTCACGTCACATATAACAGCCTCTTTCATAGAGATGACCACCTGTGTATTACTAGGTAAAACAGTTCAGTAATCTAATAGTGATTATTGAAATTCCAAGTAAATATAGATTCCTAGAAAACTTAGCTTACAAGTATTCTATAAAATGAAGATTTCGAATGCTGACTTTCATCTGTTCACTACAAATAATGTCTCACTATTCTGTGCCAAGTAACCTACATTTTGTAGCATACACTGACAGTTATCAACTACAATTTTTGTTAAGGAGTCTCAGTTAAACTGCTTTATATTTTAAAAAAATATAGTTGGAGCAAGTCATAGGATAATATTTACCTGTGGACAAATGGATTGTAGTTCGTCTTTCGTCACAAATTCTTTCAAGTGTTGTTTCTTTGGGTTCGACCTCTTTTGGAGATTGAGCGTAAAACATAACAAGAATCAAAATGACAATTGTATCTTAATTTCAATTGGATATCACAAAAGGAGACTCTTGGGTGAAAATCATTTGCAGTCATGGTCTGACAATTGCACACTCCAGTTATACGATATAAGGATTTTAAGAGACATAGTTCACCAATTGTAACGATGAAATCTTACTGCCAATAATGATCTTGTAGTCGAGTTTACAGGAAAGAAAGGAGATTAGTCGATTGGAAAGCGTGTAATAGCCATTTCTAATTAGGTGGGAACTACGAGGAAAGCATGTTACCATGATATTTGTCTGAAATCTGTTTCGGTAATTCGAGTGGTTTTTCTATTATTCATTTTTATCAATCAGAAGACCTACAGAAATAGGCAATCTGCTCAAACTTTGGAGTCACATTTCCCAGTTGCTGTTAACGCAGTCGATTACCAATCTGTTTCTGTGAATCAAAGATACATAATAGCTATGTGACATTCTCTTATTCATTTATTAACGGTTAAAAACTTATTGTGATGCTAAAATCCATGGAATTCAGGTGAATGTTTCGTCCGTTTTTTTCATAAATGAGGGGAATGTACATCAAAATTTGTACGTGGAACAGATTATTATGTGCAGAGAAAATCGATCAATTTTAGTAGCGTAAAACAATATTATCCTATTTTTGACTTGGAAACATACGAATTCTTAAATAAACTCACTCTGCCTAATCGAATCATTTTTCGGAAAGCATCCGTTAGTTGTGGTATTTGAGACTGAGGTACCCCAGTTTCAAGTGCAAGCTTGTAGTAATCCTCTTCGGATTTATCCATATCAGTCTGTCAAATAAAATTTGGAACATCTTTTACTCAAACTGAAATATACATGTAAAACTGAGTGGGTGAGACATTGAAATGCACATTGATATAAGACGGAATTTATTTGTGAAATATTTATGATCGTTATTTAAGATGTACAGATATCTCCGAAATATACAAATAGTCTTGAGTTTTTCTATTGTGACTCAACATTTGTCGACTGTTCTGGTTGAGAATGACGATTCATTAGTTATTCTACAATGTATTAGATTAAGTCATATTATTATGAGTATCGAACTTCCATATTGATGACACATATGTTCCCACCCTGGCATCTCACACTTGGCATTCGTAATACATAGGAAAGCAATGTACTACGAAAGACAGGATTTATATCTATGCGAACAAAACATTTGTATTATCGGAGAGTGAGTTCACCTTGTCAATGAACTGGTAACAGTGTACTTCATTTATGTACCTTTAAAAAATTCTGGTGAGATTTTGTCATCCATTTTTTCAATTTTAACTTTATATAGAAATATTAGTAAATCTATTTAAATACCTTTTGGAATTACAAATGCGATATGACAATATCATGTCTTCTTTCGTCATTATTTACAAATATATCAATGCAGTTGGTGATTCACATTCTCATCATACTCTGTCAGCTAACGTATTCCTTAATTTTGCATAAAACTTGAGTTTTTATTAGACATATCTTTTGATAAACATACAATGATTACTTATTAGCAATCCGACGTATGCTGTACATCTAAGCATATGTACTTATTACATAATCTTAAAATTTGATCGATGAAATCATGTTTTCTCACAAAATACTGTTATGAAGATAATTGTTTGAAGTATCATCTAAGTGTAATTTCAGGCATTAAATACTGTGTCAAAGTGTCAGTCAACTTATCTTTCGTAATTACAGAAATGCATTAGAAATACAGGATTGGAGACGATATTGAAAGCGGATTTGTGATATAATGTAAACGCATATAAATGGAATGTTCAAATATGGCCTGGTGAGTAGCAGTCTGTTAATCTTTACTGAATTCTCAAAAATTCGGCTGCTACCATAATTTGACAACTTTCTTTAGATGCCACGAATAAACATCATATTGAAGAGCTGATATTGTAATATCACGAAAACGTCTAAATTAAACTCAGTGACGTAATACATAGAGAGTCAGCTAGTCCAAATGCATTAATTTTGATACCAAGAAATAATTTAAGTAAATACGTGGTACTAATCATTCGGCTGAATGAAACGTTTGCATGTCAATATTTAAGACTTTTCCGACATTTTATTCAAATCAATATGAGATAGAAGTCAGAAGCTTTCATTGAATTACCTATTAAATAAATAAGTTCTAGACAAATTCAAAAGTTACCTTCTGTAAATCTGTTTGAAAAGCGAACTGACCAGGTGAAATCTGATGAGAGATTAGAATTACAAAATACATTGCAGTGGTTTGTTAAACAATTAAACAAGGTACATACTGCATAAAACATGTAATAGCAATCTGAATTTTATTCAACCTGTTTTCACCGACAATATGTATGTGAAATATATTTGCTTAGTTTGATACAATTTCTTGTTTATGAGATATATTGAGAGTATGTTATTTCTATAAATATTACCATTACATGGAATGACACATCAATTTACAATGATTTATTACGTGTATTGACTATCTGAAATTGTAATTTAGAAATGTAATTGGTAAGACGATTTCAGTAACACCATTTATGTATTTTATGTGAGAAAATGGTCGTAATTAAGTTCCATAAGTCAAAAACGACAACACAGTGATGTAAATTTCTTTTCGACGTTATCCTTTGCCAAAACCTTACAATGGCATCTATAGAGATTTAATAAATGAATGAGTTTGTAGAATTATATTAAGAAATTATGTCTAGGTATTCGGTGAAATCAAGTATCAAAGGAAGGTTAAGTAGTGATCTAGGCGTTAATGAAGATTAGGAACATGAAAGTTATTTTCAGGTCAGAAATAAGAGAGATTATTTTTAACCTGATAGACATGAAGGAAAACTTAAACCCATCAAGGTGATAATGACAATGGAATAATAATTCTGGAAAGTTGTACGAAGGTCATTATTACTGGCTATTGATTAAAGAAGTAAAGTATAATAATAGAAAATATGCTGGAAGCGGTGAAAGACCCATGGAAGTGTTATAGATTATATGTGTTGTTTTGGGTTTGAATTTGTAAACTGATGAAGACTCACGAGTAATGCAGTTTTTGATAGGACCTTCATTTGTATATCTGTATAGATGGATTTGAAGGATCATACTAGTGGGACATTGTGACCAGAATTGATGGGCTATTTCTGTTTTAGTTTGCCAATTGTTTTCGATTTTCCCTTGACAATGCACACCGGATGATGTTTTGAGACACTTTCAGAAAGTATTGATTTTTGTATAGTTAATTTGACCTGCTCCGTCAGAGCAAGTAGTCTATTTTTGTCACTTCCATGACTGACTAGCTGTTTGTAGACGATGCAAAGCCTGGTCGCTTAAAATCATTTTCTCTAGGATTTTGTAACTCGATTTTTCAGAGCTTCCACCGTGAAACTCAGTGCTAATGAACAAAGTTTTTCGAACAATTATTGGTCATTCAGATTTCTGTTCCCATCAAAGGTTTTTAACTGTGAGCTTAGACTGACAACCAATCTTAATGAGTTTTTGTCTGGGTCCGAGTAATTTATTTTTATTGTGTTTTTGAAATATATCCTCCTGGCCCTTGAGGTTAATTACTGAACTATTCAGTGAGACTGAATACAGAATTCAAGTATTGATCATTCTATTTAATGTGTTTGAATCCTTGTGATGGACCATCTGGGGACATTTTAACAGGAAATAAAGGGAGCGAAATTTCATAGTCACCTTAGCTTCCAACGTAAATGTAATTGCACGATGACAATTATTGAATTTGTTCAGGATGATGATGGAGATGATATTTTTGTTATAGATGATACACGTGTGATCAGTGTATCTTTTGTATAAGTATCATATACTTGAGCTTGACCATTAAGTTATACATTAGAAGAGGGTCCAGTAGGGAACTCTTTGCTTACCCATTAGTTCATATCCACAATTCATTGTTAGATCTAAACCGGACATTGAAGGTGCCTTAAAGGAGTGTGTTTTTAGACAGTGTTTCAGAACACCGATATCGAAAAGAAGATTCGCCCAACAGGAGCGATGTGTTTCTGAAGTGACCGTACCGAAAATAATAACTAACCATAGTCAATATCCTTAAGCAATAGAACAGCCCTTACAAAATCTGAACTTTGTCAACATTAACCTCATTGACCGTAATTTACTCAAACCTACTATAGTTGTGTATAAAACTCTAAATTTTGTCTACATACTCTTCTTCTTAGTAAAGATTGATAGTGGCTAGCAGTGGAATCCAGGACGCGCGTTTCGTCCTATTTGGACACGTCAGCTGGATGTACCTGTATCTCAGAGTTGATGTTCACTGTGAGACACGAACTCAGTACAGTTCGCTTCAAACACCATCGCGTGATCCACATAGCTACTGACTCCTGATAGCCACTAGTTTGTGCAATGGAGTGAAGTTTGAATTAACTCTGTATTGTTTACTTGAATCTTCCCATTGATGTTTAGGACTGAAATTGATCAGTCTCCACTCTCAGATCCAAGTATATCGAGCTGACGAGTCCCAAGTAGGACGAAGAGCGCGTCCTCTATTCCACTGATAACCACCACCTATCTTTGTCTAGAATGCTTGTGAATGAAGGGAATTTAGAGGCGATACGTACAGTATGCACGTATGCCAATCAGAGACTGATCGTAAACCCTAATGGGAAGATTGAAGTAAACAATATCAAGCGAATGTTACTTGATAGTGCTTTAAGTTATGTACCGTGTTACGAGATGGAACCATCTTTAACATGAGTGGTTCAGTATCCTTGACTACTCAGAAGTCGAAGTTTTCTTAAATGATAGCAGTCAATTTTTGATGGTTATGCGAGCGGTTTATCAAAATTGTTTTATTCACTATGATCAGTTTACATGCCACATGAAAGGTCAAACAACAATAAAAAAGAATTTAAATTAGTATGATGTGTCATGGCTTTAGTTCTACAAATATGACTAAGTAGTCTTCTTTAAGTATAACCGAAATGGGTTAATCTGTCGTCACAGTAAAATTTTAGTTTTTGGTAGGTAACATCAATGAATGCTTTGTCTTAGTAATGCAGTAGATCATATATTAAGTCGTCGTTGTATTCAAAAAAGTATTTGAATTACCAGACTTTCTTATCAAAGTCTAAATACATTTTTTATTCACGTGTGTACATCGTAGAATCTCTAGCTACGACAGTGAAAATTACTTATTAGTTTATTAAAATTTGCAGCAGAATATTGCAACGAATTCATCGAAATCACACCACAGGGTCAGTTATTGTTTTAAGCCCATATACCTTATTCTAGTTTTCGGACAAACCAATCTATTCATTCTACTTGAGTCATATGTTGACCATGTTAGTTATTCGCTTACCAGTCTTCATTGTTTTTATATGAGCGCATATGTGTGTACACTTCCCATCCCATTCATCACATGTCTGTAGCTTATTTTTGTCTGACTATAAATATTGATTAACGCCTGGCTAAAAATGAGTTGGCTTACCAGCCATCTCCACTCTGCGTCGCTTCTCTTCCTCCTATTCCATTCATCTCATATACAAAATATATGTATTCAAAACCCCATTCTCGTTATTTGACTCATTTAATTCCGTTATTGGCGAACGTGATTTAAGTCGACGATTATATACGAGAATAGGCGATAACAAACATTCGTACGATCTAAATAGTTGTCCGATCCACGGGCCACTAAACTATTGCTCCACGTACACATTATATAAATATTTATCATACTAGAATCTAGTTTTAATTAAATAGCGTATATTACATACGGATTTTTTTCAAAACACACTTCATTATGATTTCTTACTCTGGTTTGGGTTATAGGTCATAACTAGAAGTGGCCAATCATTTTTAGTTTACTATAAATTGAGCACAGTAAGTTTACTTGATATGAGTATTTCAACGTCAAGTTCTAGGGTGTATGGACAATGATTTAAATAGATTCAAAAACAATCAATATAATCAAAGAAGTTTGATATAGGATTTATAATTGAAGTTCTTACTAGGACGGCAAAAATATCCTCTGCGATGTTCATTGAAAATAAAGGTGAACGTCCAGTTTGAGTTAATATTGGTAGAAATAGATCGGTAAGACTGTTATTCATTTGACTTTGATTTCGCCCATTTGTATTATTTATCTCCGTCGAAAGTGATGGTATTAGTTGCCATCCGCCAAAATGCATATCTATCAAGTAATGACGACTTTCACGCGTTGTGTCTGAATTTCGACTATTTACGCAAGATTTGTAAAATGCTCGAGCTGATTGTAAGCGCCAATCTTCTTTATAGTATGAATCGTTAGCTTGAAAGCATTGTTAATTATTGACATCAAATTATGGAGAATAAATATTGACCGTAATCTTAACGAATTCGTTCAATAAATTATTGTAAATTTGAAACTCAAAAGAGACTACGGAATTCTGATGTTAGGTAAATGAAGGAAGATTACAGAAAGCCTTTGCAGTTACTCACCAACATTGCGTGAATCCTACTTTGAAGGACTGATGTACTTCAAGGAATTCGATGTAGAGTCATTTGTACTGGTAACCACATTTCATCTTAGCAGAATCACAAGTCAGCTTTCGTGACAAAAGCTGGATAGAATTATGTAAAACAGTGTGGTTCGATATTATTCATATCTTATTCTTACTAAAGGCCATAATTCATCCGAATAGCTTCAGCGTGATGTCGCTTACTATCTAACATGGTCCAAAGTTTTTCGCATCTCATGTAAACCATCATTTTCAAGTAGATTCTAAATATACTTCGCTGATAAGTGTCAAATGGTATGTAGCCTGGCTTATGAACTTTCAGCTAGATATACGATTGGACCTTACTCCAAAAGCATACATATCACTTGCTTTTAACTAGAAGTTACATTGTAACTTCTTGAAAATAATTTCGTGTATCGCATTCAGTAAAGGGAAATAAATAGGTGGACCTCTTTCAAAAACAATAGTTATTTATTCAAGAAGTGATATTACCTATATTTTAAGTGACTGAAACTTTGTTTGAGTTAGTTTACAGATCCTTCGGTTTGGTTGAAGCATGGCTGTCTGCCTACTTGCATGGATTCTGCAACAAAATTTAAGCTTTAACTCTAAACAATTCGATACTCTTTATATGATGTTTTAATTGTGGGGAAATATTTATAATATCGAAATCAGCACAAATTATATTATGATAACATTATTTTACTATGACTTACCAATTATCTCCCAGAAGTAGTTATCAACGTTCATTCCCATCTGTTGCATAACGCTTGAACTAGCACTATCACCCGACAAAGGGTTCTGTTTTTCCCACTCTCCACATGCAGTTTCGTAAAAATCAATACAATGATTCGAGAAACGTGAGTTATCGGTATTATTCTGCATAGTCTCTTCCAATGTGTTTGTTGCTGCATAAAAATGTGTAAGCAATAAAACTAACTACTGAAACGAGGATTTGAGGAATATATAAGACAGACAATTTCAGAACGATTAAGTGTAAGGTAGTTGCTTTAAACATTTGACCATTACTGTTGTGGGGAATAAGACCCTAGTTTTTTAATTAAATTGGATGTTATTATAAATAAGTGAGACTGATTCACTAAGGAGATAACTCTCACATTGATCTATTTCCTACAGCTTATGGCATCGCACGTATTTATTTAATCGATTTACTTTCCATCCTCGGATATCTCCGTTAGAACAGTGGATTACTGCTACAAATTTATCGACCTACAGCAATGTGGAAGTATGGACACGGTGATGTTCATTATGACATTGAAGGTATTCAAAGAAAGATAGTTTATGAGGTGATTTACTACTCCGCGATACTTCATTCTAAATGCTTGATGAACAGACGTTTGGGTATTTTGATGTGATATGATTCAAAAACAGTTACAGTGTGAAGGCTACATTCGCTCTTTATCTTCCTCTTGATTCTGAACTAAAGCATCCATTCATGCCTACTTTTTTGATTATCATAATTAATAGATTATTTCGATCGTTTTACTATTCATTTTGTCAAATAAACAAAAATTGACTAACCAGTGTCAGGTGTTCCCGTAATCCGTGTGGTTTCATCTGTTCCAATGAATTCTGAAATGACACGAAGTAAGACACTGAGAAGCTCTATCATCATAAATCTAAGTATATGTTGACCATGGAAAATTCCTGATAGCTTCAAAATTACATACTATTAAGACAATCAATAAACATTGAATTACACAAGACGGTTAATGATACTGTGATTTCTCAAACTGATCGAATATCAGACCGGAAAAGAGATGATGATGATTTTCGTTAGAACTATTTTGGGATTCCGTGATCAGACTGATCAATATAACACTCTATGAACATACTGTGATATTTATTTATTTATTTCCTGCATATTTTATGATGATAAATGTAAGTGCTTCATAACTGGAGACAATCGAATGTATTTGAACACAAAATACGGAACATGTTACTAAAAATCTGAAATACTCTATTTGCTAAATGTTAATCAATTGTCTCAAACTCGACTGTTTCTTCATTTTCGCAGCAATCATTCACTGTTCTCGTTCTTTTTCTTCGACCTCCTCAACCTTCTGCTGCCAGAAATTCCACTTTCGATTGATGATACCTACTACTTGTATCTATCGACATCAATAACACACGCCACAGTATGATTTATTGAAGGTTTATTTTTTCGATCTTGTGTCTCTATTTGTATTTATTATTATATATATTATGTTTCATAATGATTTGTTTCAAACCTGTTTTTGTCGGAATACATTATGAATTATATGATTATCATAGTTCCCAATTCATTGTTGCTGATTATGTATTAGTTTTGTCTAATTGTCAAATGATAATATTCCACCAACAAGATTATTTTATCTAAGATAATGTTTTTCAAGTGTATACAAATATCCATTAAAACTATTGACAATAAAACATATTGCTTAGTAAACAATAGGAGAATGATATTTATACGTGCTTTATCAGTGAATACAACTCCGCCTGCAACCCCTCTGCGATTACTGCCGGTCCCATGCCCAGATAAATGAGGAGGGTTGGGCATGGAGTTACTGACCCCATCCCGTAGAAAACTAACTCGCTAAAAATACGCTAACCAGAAAAAATCCAAATCATTAAAACTCTACACTGAGAATTAGAAGATCATTTAGAAGAGTTATGACGCCTCATGATGAAAGCCGAGTTCATTCGGAAATTACGAGTCTGATGCCCGTTCTGACAGCCAGAGCAACCATTAACTGAGGTACATGGAATACTCGTAGAATGTGGAAAACTGGGAGAGTAATGCAAATCGCTAACTGTGAATACGGTTTAAAATTTTTCATTTTGTTTTTTAGATATTTTGAAATAATTTCAGGAATCTAATAGTTGATAGGAACTTATGAAACGTCGTGGATAAATTGACTAATAATCATTATATAACGCATCTATGGAAAACATGAGAAAGGATACTATTTGTGAAGAAATAAATGATTAATATTAGATAAGTTCAAAACTGTTCAGGATCAAAGTCGTGTATTTTTCAAAGAAACCTATTGAAATGATTAAATATGAAGTTAGAGCATAGTTGTTCACACATGAAATATGATGTGTTTGGATTTCTGGTATTGTCAGTTTTTGAAACACAGTTTTTAAAAGTTCTATCAAATTTGTTCTAGCTATTGTTAAACTTGCAGTGAATCAAATGAGATTTGAATAGGGTACTCTATATGTTTTGATTTCATATGGAATGTACAATGTTAATGTAAAGATAGTTGACTACGATTACCAACCTGAATTTCGTCATGGCATAATTAAACTCACAAAGATTTGTTACGAATAAATATTAATATAAAGCAACATTTCTATGTGATTCATAAACCTTAGACTGATTTAATTGAAAAAATCCTGTGAATCTTATTACTTTCCAGGCACCCACTGGTACTTCAAAATTATCTAATGATGATTGCTTATTCATGAATAGTTTATATTTCTGTGAAAAGGTAAATAATCCCGTTTTCAGGAATCATTAAAATGCACCAGTTTAAAACTTGCAAAATTAGCCCGTATTTATTATGAATAAATTAAGGATTGTTTTATTACATCTGATACAGTGGTACACTTTTCTTCCTAATGCATTATGCGTCTTTTTTAATCAAAGTTTGAATCACGATAGTGAATAACTTCTGATTAATTGTGTTTTTGTGGCACGAAATCTGACTCCCATAATATCGTGTGAATGATTATTATTGAAATACGCATATCGTCAATCCTCGTATATTATCATCGACTTAACTCACGTTAGTGAATAATGGAATAAACTAAGCCAGACACGAGAATGAATTTGGAATATGTATATTTCATGAATTCATTGATTTGAACAGGCATAAGGGAATGAATCGAAGAGAAGAGAGCGAAGCGAAATGACGCGCAGTGGAGAAGGCATGTGAGCCAACCCATTTAACCAAGCGTTAATCAATATTCGTAGTCACACAAAATCAAGCTGCAGACATGTGATGAATGGGATAAGAAGGGCATACACATATGCGCTCTCATAAAAACAACCAGGATTGATAAGAAAAATAGTTAACATGGTCAAAACGTGACTCCGATTAAATGTATGATATGAAATCGTTTAGACCCTTAGTTGAACCAGATATCCAAATTAAAGTTTCATCATTATGGATACGTTTTCACTAAGTTTTAATTTGAGAAAGGCATGTTATAATTTCCCAATGAAAATTCACTTTATCACTGCTTATGCACATCACATTCTAATATTCTTGTTCAACATGTTGACATACTTTATTCAAGAAATCTTCAAATCAATCATATAAGCCTCTACTTTACGTTTGCAATAATTCTGGAAATTGGTAGTGATGTGTGAGCAAGAATGATAATGATTGGTTGTCTGCTTATTCAGACATTCAGAGATAGTCAGATAGGTGTCAGATGAGTTATATATTCTCCTATTCTTATTATTAATTATTATTATTGATTGGCTGTTCATTGTTGTTGGATTGTGTCGGGTTTTTGGTGTGAAAATATAGTTGCGTTCTGGTCAGGCCAATCACGTGTTATTGATCTGAGTTGTGTCGAATTCCTGCAGGATAGACACTGGGAGGAAATTTAGTGTAGATGTTCGTCTTAGGTAAATGAACGTCCCATACGTGTAAACGTCAAAAACCCAACCGTTTTAACATTAGACGAAGTAAAACTGAGCGTTAAAACAGGTAGTTTTTTGACTATTTTGCCCAACGACAGTATGATGCATTATGGTGTATGCAGTATTGTTTTCGTGCATGCAGAAAATGTAAATGATTGCGTGAAAACATGCAAAATGTGAAGAGCGATATATCAAACTATTAACAAAATTTGACTATCCAGTCATTGTGAACAAAATTAAATTTGATAAGTTTTAATCAAGATGCAGTGTCATATATAATGAATCTTACCGTAACAGCAACTCAGAACGAAAAGGATTGCCACTATATCAAATGAAATTATGTTTGTCAACTTCAAGAAATCCTACCATATTTCGAAATTCTTCCTGCTAGAAAGCCTTCAAACGAAGATGACATCACTTTGAGGGTAATGCAAAGTATGTTTTCAGTACGTTTGTTCTTTTCGCATGATCGACTTCGTGTTTTCAGATATATATATACATATATATGAGGTCAATGATTGTTGGTTTGTGCAACTTTATATCGGAAGACTGCAAATATTTGCTCTCATTTTTCACAAACTATTTTCTCTGTCACTTTGAAATAAGTTTGATCTATTGAACAAGAAAAATGAGATATGAATTTATAATTAACTGTTGGAGATTCAACTCTTTAGAAACTTATTAGTCCAGACAAAAATGACATTGTCTGTATTTTACAACAAAAAAATTTTGGTCGTGTGTGATCATTGAAAATGTGGTTGAATTTCTTAACTTATTCTTTGGGTAATTAAATAATTTGTAAAAACTCAGAAAGTGTTTATTACTTCGTATCGTAACTTGGAACTAAGATCTTGTATTGGTTGAAGGAAATGAGAAGTTCCTAGTTTTTAACATGTACATATAACATGAAAGATACTTACCTCAAGTCACTATGACATTTATGAAGGTACCTTGAATAAGGTTACAATTACTATAGTTAACAAGTGTGTACTGAAATCTAAATTTCTTCTGCGTCTTTTGGTAAGAGTAAGATATATTTGTAGAAAAGTGCTATATATCTCGTCCATTTTCGAACTTATATGATCATTTTATTATGATTATCACATTTTGATCTAAACACATACATACATTGATGAGATCATTACTCCATTCTGTGGGTTAAACATGATGATGTTTTGTGTTACTGAGTGTGTTCATATATGTTCAAGTAAGCATAAATCACGAGATCACGTACAAATAATTTGTAAATGATAGCAACTAGTTGTACAAAGAAACCTGATTTGACATTACTCCTAATTCCAGGTCCCATGTTGTAAATTGTTTTTTTTCAATATTTTGACTGACGAACTAAATTAAGCGTGATGATCCTCTAAAATTACTGCCGGTCCCAATCCTCAGTTAGCTTTTAGGTTAGGAACACCACTCAGTAATAAAGAACTCAACGATAAAAGTGCTAGTCAGAAACATTCATCTAAATCATTTAATCTCTAACCTGGAAGTCGAAGACCATTCATATAGGAGTGTTATGACGACTCATGGTGAAAGCTGATATTATTTAGAAGTGTTAAAAAGAGTGCTCTTTCAGACAACCAGAGCAAAATCTGATTGAAGTTTATGGAACATCCTGACAGTATGAGAGATAGGTAGGGTCATTGAAATCGCTGACGAAGTGAGCAGATACAACCTGACTGTGCTCAGAACTAGTGCAACCTACTGTAGACAAGCTGAACAGAAAATTATGGCTTCATAAATGCTGTTGCTTCATTCAGGTCACGAATAGGGCAACGACCCACACACAATGTTTACGCTGATACCGTCCAAAGAATCACAGTAGGCACTTATAGAATGGTAGAAAGACAGGTTAAAAACCATCAGTTCAACCCTTAGAGGAAGAAGTAATGGACTACAATGAATTTCATCTGTAGTGGCTTAGCTTCGTTACTCGATCACTTCGATATCCGTTATAATATAAATCTCAACTGTGTTTAAAATCAGAAGGCGATGAGAAGCTGAAACTAGAGTTTATTAGTGGATAATAGCTCAGCTCACAAAACTATAAACACATCAAGCGAATTTGAAGCTGAGAGGCGAATAAATATGTACGAGCAATTAAATAACCAAATTTATAGTCAGCAAGGCAAAGCGAACGCTAATAATAGGATCTGAATACATGCATACATGGGGAGGAGGATGAATCACTGAGTGATATTTAGGCAATCAACATTTTAGCTAGAGTCTGTCATGTGATCTAGTGATCATAACGGTACAAAATAATGTGTGAATCGTTGTTGTTCTAATAACTGTCTGTTAAATAAGTTAATCAAAGGGCTTAACGAAAATTAACCATAATCGAAATTGGTTGGATGATTGTTGCTATACATCCACTGACACACGCAAATCAATGCCAGAAGTGACGATAATAAGCACCAGTTATAAGAGAGGCTGTTGTCCATCCTTGTGAGATGTCTTGGTAACGATCTGATCACTTTTGTGAGGATCAGAACGTTCAAATCGGGATGCACTCCATCAAGTATGAAGACATGATTGGACAATGCAGACTTATAGAAAAGAATGGAGATAATCAGATGCATTATGGATCTTAATGTTTCGAACAAAATGGTTATAGGCGACAGCATTTTCTCTCGCAAGTGGATATATGAAGCCAGATTGCTTGTATCGAACCGAAATGTGGAAAACCATATCGACCGTATCTATCTGAATGAAAGTTGCAAAAAGTTTATAAAGAACGAAAGAATAATGAGGGTAGCTGACAATGACCGAGATAAACAACTGATGAGGACCTTGTTAAAAATGAAGCTAAAAGGAGTAGAAAATATTTGAACGGACAGCATTACGGAGTTTAATCCATCCTTCCTTCTAGATGCAAACAAGCTCAAAAAATTCAAGATAGCTAACATTAGTAAGTTTCAGGCCTGATAAAACGCACTAGGAGAGGAGTATTCTTCTTATGAGGAACAATCGGAAAGGAATTTGTTGAGGTGATCCAGAAAACTTCTCGCAAGAGACAAGAAAGGCTAAGGAAAACACTAAGAAGCATTTTATCCAATCAGCGTTCACTAGAAGTTTAGCCAGAAACATCAAGAAACTGGAAAGTTATATGTAGAGTTTCTGATTGGTTGATTACTATACTGCTACTATGTTCAGTAGCATTCCAGAATTCCCGGAAACCCAGGGACATCTAAAATACTATGAGAACTCTATATTTTTTGTATTAAAACGAACCTTTGGAGTAAAGTGGTTCTCACATATTTTACGCCTTTTCTTTCGTGTTCAGGTCGCTGTGTAGTTCTAGCTTGGGGGTTACGAGAATAGCTTAGGAACCGAATATATCGTCCAATTAGCAAGACTTATCCGGATTCAGGAAGCAGTAACTAACATGTCAGAAGAAGACGGCTCACAAGAAGCACCAGCATAATGAATGGATCTCTGTAGATGTCTTCGGCATAATTCAATAATGGAAAAGCAAGAAGACAGTATTAGAAGCGATCGATGGCATATCTAATGAAGGTACTGATAATGAGGAGATAATAATTGTATTAGAGTATTGTTGTATTATTAATAATACAAACGAAGAGAGTTTAGTCTTAGTTCTTTTAGGTTGTCATGAGAAGATCCTGTCTGATCTTTCTTCACCATTTTGTAGGTATCAGTATTTCACTAATTAGATGGTTCGTTTAATAGACAAACATATTTCATAATAATATTGTACACTTATTATTCCGTAATATTCCATTGTAATGGTGAGATATTTTCTTGATTTATGAATTGTCCTTTAAATTGAAGATGCCACAGGTACTCGGAGTTTGACAACGCTTTAACCAGTAACACCTTCTAATATGAATCGTACCCACCAAGTGAAATCAAAAGACAGAAGCGAGGAGGTTCACAGATATATTTGATAGGTTATCAATATATCGAGGATCGTCTGATCTAATCTGGCTAGCGATTGCAGGGGTTGTTGAGCACGGCGTTCCCACTCGTGATCTGTTGCGGATGCATGACCGAGCGCCTTCAGCTAGGTGAGTGCATTAAACTAATGTGGTCAGCACCCTATGTCGAAAACTTACAGAGCTATTTATTTTGAGGATTTATTCACCGCTAAAAAATCTTAGTATTCTTTCGTTCATCAAAGTCTATAAGATTTCATAATTATGTTCAGTGTCGTTATTTCTATTTAGATTATTACTGATTAATAATGGTATTTAATTTCATTGTTTTCTTTTACAGTATTAAATAAGTTCCTTAACTTAATCAAACTTTTATTATTTAATGAGTTTGACCGACATTCATTTTTATAAAATCAAATTTTTGATAACGATAATATTGTAGATAAGATAAAGAACGTAAAATACGTCAGTGATAAGGATGAATTGAAAAATAACATTTTTACTCTAATATTGTTCACTATTTGTATTACTTCATGAAATATAAAGATTTAGTATTAGACAGTATAATATTTACTGTAGCATCTCAATATATCATCACAAATAAAATGCACTCATCAAAATAAAGATGAAAAATATCGCATGGAATTGCCTCATAGAGATTGTTCATTTCCGTTCAACATATAGATGCTTTAATTTAGTCTTATGTGATGGTTTATTAATTACAGCGATACGATTCTTCAAAAGCTTCTTTCCTTCTTTTCTTGTAATTCATAGTATCTTGCAGTGAATAACCAAGACAGTTACTGTACAGTTAAACATTTTATGTTATGTTTAAGTTGTGGAAATAACTCTAACAAGCTTATTTTGTAAATAGTTTTTAATATTATTTGTATTTATTTTGTCAATTTCTCACTGCATGTACATTTATCATTAAATGATTGTACCTGTTGTTTGAGAAAATGACCTTGAAGACACTTTCCGTTGAGCTACTACATAGCGTGATATATCTTGCCGACTAACAAATACATTACTACTCTCGCATTCCTCGTTCTATTTCCATTTGTGATTGAGTTAACGGAAGTCTAAATCAAATACTATCTACATTTATAGACTGTAATCGGAATATATCACATCCTACGTTGGACTATATCGCTAGAGAGTTCGCCAACCTGCTCAGAGTCATCAAGCATTTATAATTGTGGATTTACATTACTGGACCTAATCAGAACACGCAACGTTTGGGCAATTTAAGTAACGTCCCTAATTTTTATTGTATTTGTAACAGTTAACTGTATATATATTAATATTACTATTTATCTTTAGTAACTTTGTTTATACTTTTTGCGTTCATATTTGTCTGGTCCACCACAATTATTTGGTGAGCCTCGGTTTTTTTTAGACATTTACTATATATATCTACATATTATTATTATTATTACTTGGCACGACACCATTTTTTTTTTTATGTCATTATGAACTCTCCGGGTAAACTTATCGATATAGATAGTTCACCGACCAACCTTCTAAACTCTCCACAACCAGAGGATAATGCTTTAAACTCGATCAACGCTATCTCAGAGTTAAGATTACCAACGTACTGTATTAATAATCCCAGAGTCTGGTTTGCTCAAATTGAAGCTTTATTCATGGCTAGAGGCATAAGATCCCAGGCATCAAAGTATGCATACGTAGTCGGCGCACTTC